ATCATATTTTAATTCATAATTTGAATTAATAATCCAATATTTTTGCATGGCTCTGTCAGTCATTTCAAGTGAAATCAGCTCTTAGAAAAATAAAATAAAAACTTAATTTAAAGAGAAAATGCCCTGAACAGAAAACTAATAATCCATTATTCTCTTACAACTCTGTGCGGGCGGTTCTAATACTATTCAAATATAATCTAGGGGCGGATCTTGACTTTGACACCTATGTTATTAAGCTTTTGGTAAAAAAAAACAGGGGTGTAGTAAACATGGCAGCTCACTCTTAGTGTCAGAAATATTTGCTGTGATTAAAAATGATGTGATGATGTGTGAGTGCGTGAGGTTGTTGAAAGGTTGAGGTAATTTCAACAGTTGCAAAAGGTGTGTTACGATGACAGCACACTCAAAAGCGAGATCCTTGAAGAAATCCAGGACCACTCACACCAAACCCACAGCGCCAGACCCCCACTGAGCTGCACTAACATCCATTCACACCTTGTCATAAATATTCTTTCATTTTCAATTTGCTCAAAAGTTTGAATAACCATAATCTCAATTTGAGTAAATTATACCAAGCTGATGCCCCTCCTCGACAGATACGTTTACTGCAGATCTGTGTTGCCCCGCGGGATCATGGGACGCATAATCCAGAAGGGATGGACGGAGTGAGAAGGAGGGAGGTATGTGAGGAATGAGAGGTGAGCAGGTCTGAGCAAATGCTGTGAACTCCTGCTCCGTGGTGAAACTGCCTGCGGACACTACTGCTGCTGCCGCTGCTGCTACTGCTGCTACTGTCCCAACCCCAAACCTCATACCCATTAATGTGCAGGTAATTGGTTCATGGTCACAGCCGCCGGTTTGTGTACACCCAGGTGAAATGAACTTCTTATTCTGGTGGTGGCTTGTTCTGCCGAGAGATGTTGAGAGACGGATTATTTTGTAAACTGAAATAAACGCAGAGGAAAGTTTTTTACAGTGTGGTTTGTTTTGAATAATGACATGTGTTCTGCCTTATCATACCTTCGCTGTGGCGGTGACCGACTGGTGATGAAGGCCCCTGAAGAATGAGACTCCATACATTCACACCATATATAGAAGATAAGAGATTCTTTACTTGTCCCACTGTGGGGAAATTTCAATGTTGCAGCGCACATTCAGGACAGTACAAAATAAGCAAGTAGCTGCAATGTTTCTTAGCTAACTGCAAATGCCTCAATATCGGTCCGCCAAAATGTCTATACATACGTACAAGAATTCTCATATCTGTTAAAAGTTCACAAACTCAACCAGGCATAATCATGATTGTTCTGCCAATTTTCTTTTTATACATGTCACATAATTCATTTTCTTCTGCAGTTTCTCCTCCTTGTGTGATAAGGGCTTCCCACTCAGCATCGTCCATCTACTTGCTTGTGTTTGATGAATAACACTGTATTCAAATCAATCCATTTCAATTTACTTTGTTAACCCTTGTATTATGTTAAGGGTCAATTTGACCCATTTCAGTTTTTGTGTTGATCAAAGTACTGGTTATCCTTTCTTTTTCTTGCTGAAATTTGATGACTTTTCCTCATCTAGGGTCATGAACTGGTGTGTAAAATTTGGACACTTTGATGTGTAGTGGAATGTCTGTGCAGAGTTTGTATACAAAGATGATGTTACGGGTCATTTTGACCCAGACGCTTTAATGTGGGTAAATAGTTGTTAAGATCCAAAAAAACATGTCTCTTTGCCATTATATTTTGATTGCCTCTGAGACCCAGAGCCAGGTGTGTGAAGAGAGGGAACTTTCTCACACTTGTCCTTGTCACTGTTCTCATGTCATCTCTTTTGCCTAACGTACATCGGACTGGCAACTGAATATATCCGTTGCCTTTGAGTTGCTGCCCCGCACACATCGACAATCTGGCGAAAACGGGAAACTCCTGTATCAGGCCAGTCTCGGGAATAACAGCGCGTACATCGACAGCAACTGGCCTCAACTACAGTGTGTTTTCTGACATAAACTGTTGCGGGCGCAATACACGCAATACACACATGTTGTTGGAGCGCGCACATCGGGTCATATCGTCTGATCTGAGGACAAATAGTTGCCAAAAAGTAGAACACGGGCAACTGACTGAATCCGGAGATCGACTGTTTATCTCCAGTTGTAAGAGCGCTCACATCGACCGATTTCGGCAACTGATCATCTCCACCATCTACTCTCAGTCGCCAAAAGCCGCCTTCAACTAGTTGTCTCCAGTTACTCTGTCCATGTACGCTAGGCTTTATACAAACTCACCAAAAATGCGCTCCAGAAGGATGACGACATCTGAGGGGGCTTTATCACAGATTTTTAACTGGGATAATGATGTAGAGGAAGAGATTTCAGAAACAGAGGATTTTTCAGAGACAGAGGACAATGTTATTGCTGATCCAGATTGTCAATTTTCCTACGATAAGGAAGATTCAGAGGACGAATCTTTGGTCAAGGAAGGAGGATGGGAGGAATGAAGTAAGGTAGGAAGGAAAGAAGGGAGAAAGGAAGGCAGGAAGGAAGAGAAAAGAAGGGAATAGAGGAGGATGAACAGAGAGAAGGAAAACAGGATGAGAAGACGGAAGGAGAAAGCATGGCAGGAGGGAAGAATTGTCATTTTGACCCGAGAGGAGGACAAGAGGATTAGACTAAATCTTTCTTAAATATAGCGTTGGAATTAAAAATGTATTGTATGTCACTTTTCTAAATATTTATATAACCTAAAATAAAGTTGTTATTGGTTTAACCTGTTTTCTTGACTGTTTTGAGTGCATTTACACAGTACGGGTCAAAATGACCCGTAACATAATCAATGTCATTTTTTTTCAACATAATACAAGGGATATAGCCCTAAAAGTATGTATCTATTATGGATTGTCCCTTGAGTCAAACAAAAAGTTACATAAAAAACCACAGACAAAGAACAGACCATGTCCACACTCAGTTCATAAAAACATAATGGCAAAGACAAAAACCAAGACATTGTTTTCTTCACCCTTCAGGCCCACCTCAAAGTCCTCGTCCCCATCTGCTCCTACAATATCTTAGGATACAGTTATTTGATCAGTATCTTACTAGTTGGTGGTATAGCACTGTGTCACTGTGATTTTCTTAGCTACTTTTATCAATCACATGTTTTCTTCCCCTTAATCCATTTCTGGGTCAGGAGAGTGGCAGTCAGAGATTACACCCAAGTCACAGAGCACCAGCCCTCAACCAAGTGTTCATAGCTACGTCGATTTTTGATCCTTGAGCTGGGTTTGGACCGACGTGAGACAGGTTAATTTTACCCTACTGATGATGTGTTGTTAAAATAGTATTTTATGTATGTATCATTTATTTATTTCTACATCTCATCATATTACATGCACATGTGGTGGTTTACATAATTCACCCATGGAACTGTGGTTACTCTGGTGGGGTTCCGGGGGGACAGGAAAAAGGGTTGCACAGTTTTTCCCAGGAAGGAAAAATGTTTTTGGTTGTGTGAGGAGTTCTGTTACACTGGCTGTTTTATGGCATTAAAACGTGTACGTTTGTCACCGCTGTTTGACACACCGCCTCCGACTCCGCTCCTTACGCACCACATTGGTGACCCCGACGTCAGTCCCGCAGAAGTTTCTGGGACTGATCAAGATACAGAGCAAAGCAGTATGGCGCAGTCCGCCGCTCTCAAGCTGCCTGAGTTTTGGGAGACGTCCGCCGCAACGTGGTTTGCTCAGGCGGAGGCTCAGTTCGCCCTCCGTGGAATTACTGACGATGACACGCGCTATTACCATGTCGTCTCGGCGCTCGGGAGCTCCACGGCGACCAGGGCAGTGAGTTTCATTACTTCTCCTCCAGCCCACGGGAAGTATGCGGGGATTAAGGCATATCTGCTGAAGATTTTTGAACTGTCACGATCCGAACGGGCCCGACGCCTCCTTTCTATGCAGGGCCTGGGGGATAGCAGGCCCTCAGAACACATGGAGGTGATGTTAAACCTGCTGGGCAGTGAAGAGCCAAATTTCCTCTTTGTGGAACTGTTTCTGCGACACATGCCACCTCACGTGCAGACGGCTCTCGCGAATACAGCCATTACGGAGCCACGTGCTCTGGCGGAGGAGGCGGACCGGTTCTTCCTGGCCACCCATCGTTTCGTCCCTGACGTGTTGGCCCCGACACGCAGCTACACCCCCCCTGCTGCGGCCGCTCTGCCTGTTAGGGGGCGCATGGTGACTGACGGCCCGGCCAGCCCTGGGTTGTGCTACTTCCATGCACGTTTCGGGGCCAAAGCTAAGAGGTGCCGCTCCCCATGCAGTTTCAACGCGACGGGAAACGCCAAGGCCTGCGCTCAGTAGTGGCCGTGAGCGCAGGCGCGAAGGGCCGGCTGCTGTTTGTTGTGGACACCCTGTCCGGGCGCAGGTTCCTCTGTGACACTGGCGCCCAGAGGAGCGTTCTGCCGGCTACAGTGGACGATGCTGCTGGGGGGTTGCATGGCCCGCCCTTAACGTCCGCCAATGACACCCCTATCCGGACATATGGCACAAAGTCTGTGGACGTATGTTTCGGGGGCCAGCGGTTTACATGGGACTTTGTCACGGCCGATGTCTCGTTTCCCCTCCTCGGGGCAGATTTTCTGTGCGCCCAGGGGTTACTCGTGGATGTCAAAAATGGCCGCCTGGTGGACGCTTTGACCTTCTCCTCATTCGCGTGTGTCCGTGATGAGGGGACATACAATGGTCTCTCCAGCTCGCTCGCTGAAGGTGACAAGTACCTGCGGCTCCTCGTGGAGTTCCCTGACCTGACGCGGCCCACTTTCTCGGCTGCTACGGCTAAACACGGAGTCGAACACCACATCGAAACCAGAGGCCCTCCTATCCACGCCAGGGCCCGGCGGCTCAATCCGGAGAGGTTGACGACTGCCAAGGCTGAATTCGCCAACATGGAACGACTTGGCGTCATTCGCCGTTCTGACAGCCCGTGGGCTTCACCACTCCACATGGTTCCGAAGCCAGACGGTGGGTGGCGTCCGTGTGGTGACTACCGCCGTCTTAATGATGCGACCACGCCCGATCGTTACCCGGTGCCCCACATTCAAGACTTTTCCGTACATTTGGCGGGGAAGTCCGTGTTCTCTAAAGTGGATCTGGTGCGGGGTTACCACCAAGTCCCGGTGCACCCGGCGGACATACCGAAGACGGCAGTGGTGACTCCTTTCGGGCTGTTCGAGTTCCTCAGGATGCCTTTTGGCCTGAAGAACGCAGCCCAGTCGTTCCAGCGGCTAATGGACTCGGCACTCAGGGACATGCCTTTCATCTTCGTCTACTTGGACGATGTCCTCGTCGCCAGCTCCTCGGAGGAGGAGCACCTGACACATCTCCGAGTTCTTTTTACACGGCTCGACCAGCACGGGCTGATCATTAACCCGGCTAAGTGTGTTTTTGGGGTGCCGTCCATAAAGTTCCTCGGGCATCTCATCACCAGTGAGGGGGCTGCCCCCCTCCCTTCGAAGGTGGACGCCGTTTCCACTTTTCCACGCCCACGCTCGGCCCGGGGGCTCCGTGAGTTCCTCGGTATGGTTACCTTCTACCATCGGTTTCATTCGACAAGCGGCTCACGTAATGCGCCCGCTCTACGAGGCCCTTAAGGGTACGACCCCCAACCAGGACGTTGTCTGGACCGCGGAGGCGGACCAGGCCTTCGAGGACACAAAAGTTGCGTTGTGCCAGGCCACTATGTTGGTCCACCCGTCACCTGGGGCCCCGGTTGCCCTCACTACTGACGCGTCCGACTATGCCGTGGGTGCCGTGTTCGAGCAGTGGGTCGAGGGTACCTGGCAACCGCTCGCCTTTTTCAGCCGCCAGCTAGTCCCCAGGGAGCGTAAATACAGCACCTTTGACAGAGAGCTGCTCGCTGTTTGGTTGGCAATCCGCCACTTCCGCTTCGTCCTGGAGGGCCGTGAGTTTACGGTTTTTGTTGACCACAAGCCCCTTACATTCTCCATGTCTAAGGTGGCCGAGCCGTGGTCCGCCCGCCAGCAGCGCCAGCTGGCGTTCATCTCGGAGTATACCACGGACATACGACACATTGCCGGCAAATCCAATGTGGTTGCGGATTGTCTTTCCAGGGCGGTCGTTGGTGCGGTCCAGCTCGGACTAGACTACGCGCGTATGGGTGCAGACCAGGCCGCAGACCGCACCCTTCAGTCCCTCAAGGACTCGGACACTGGACTGCAGCTGGGAAAGGTCGCGGTCGGCGCTTCTGGGGTCGGGTTGTGGTGTGACCTCTCTACTGGCCAGCCCAGGCCTCTGGTCCCCGCCAGCTGGCAGCGGTCTGTTTTTGAGACTATACACGGCCTGTCCCATCCTGGCAGAAAGGCATCTGTTAGGCTTGTATCGCAAAAGTTCGTCTGGAGAGGACTCAAGAGGGATGTGCGGGCCTGGGTTGATTCTTGTGTGGCCTGTCAGCGTGCTAAGGTGCACCGCCATACCAAGGCCCCGTTAGAACCTTTTGTTGTTCCGGAGAGGAGGTTTGACCACGTTAACATCGACCTGGTGGGGCCGCTTCCCCCTTCACGTGGTTTCACTTACCTCCTCACGATGGTAGACAGGACGACGCGCTGGCCTGAGGCTGTTCCCCTCGCCTCTATCACGGCTGCCGATGTGGCTCGGGCGTTCATTGGCACGTGGGTTTCACGTTTCGGTACGCCCTCTGATCTATCCTCTGACCGGGGTGCGCAGTTTACCTCGGAGGTCTGGAACGCTGTGGCGGGGGGTTTGGGTGTCAAGTTGCACCGCACCACCGCATACCACCCCCAGGCTAACGGACTGTGTGAACGTTTCCACCGCTCTATGAAGGCTGCCCTTCGGGCCAGCCTGACAGACGGCAACTGGGTTGACAAACTGCCCTGGGTCATGCTTGGCCTTAGGACCGCCCCCAAGGAGGATCTGCAGTCCTCGTCCGCCGAGCTTGTTTACGGCCAGGCTTTGCGGGTGCCTGGGGATTTTATACCGGATGCTACGAGACCTTGGTCTGCTACCGAACAGCGGTCCTCCCTGCGGGAGGTGGCCACGGGGTTTGCGCCTGTTCCTATGTCGCAGCACTGCTCCCCTGAGTCCCGGATGCCCGCTGGCCTCCGCTCTGCGTCGTTTGTTTTCGTCCGCCACGACGCCCACCGTGGACCGCTGCGTCCCCCTTACGACGGCCCGTTTAAGGTTTTGCAGCATGGGGACAAGAGCCTGGTCGTGGACATTGGGGGTAGGCCTGAAACTATTTCCGTTGATAGGATCAAGCCTGCTCATGTGGACATTTCCAGACCGTTGGTGTTAGCCCAGGCCCCGCGCCGCGGACGCCCCCCAGTACTTTGTTCCCCTGGTCAGGCGGAAGTTCCTTCGACCGGGACGGTGCCGGCTGCGTCCCCCGCTTCCCTCCCCTCAGCCCCTGCCACTTGTACTCGGAGTGGTCGGGCCATCATTCCATTCCGGAGTGGGGATTTTGACTATGGTTGAATTCTGGGGGGGCTTGTGTGGTGGTTTACATAATTCACCCATGGAACTGTGGTTACTCTGGTGGGGTTCCGGGGGGACAGGAAAAAGGGTTGCACAGTTTTTCCCAGGAAGGAAAAATGTTTTTGGTTGTGTGAGGAGTTCTGTTACACTGGCTGTTTTATGGCATTAAAACGTGTACGTTTGTCACCGCTGTTTGACACACCGCCTCCGACTCCGCTCCTTACGCACCACACACACATCTTATATACTACCTTTACATTTAAGGAAGATACAGAGTCCTATAAATTCTGTCTTCTCGTTGTGGTTTTCAATCACTACAGCAGTCATCTCGGGGACTTTACATTTCTATGCAATATTTTGGAGACATGTCAACCAAGACACACAGATGAGATGAAAAAGCGTGTGTTGAAAATTCTATATACATTTTGTTCCCCAAGAGTAAGTAAGACATTTTTATTTATATAGCGCATTTTACAAACCAAGGTCACCCAAAGCGCTTTACAATGTTCAGATTTGGGATATTGGTCCAATCATTCCACACGCGGTGATGATGAAAGCGAGTTGCCAAACACACTGGCACAGCTCCCAATCAACACCATCCATTCACTCTCTCATTTACATTCATACCTACTGTGCATGTTTTTAGTGGTAGGGAAAACCGGAGCACCCGGAGGAAACCTACGCAGACACGGGGAGAACATGCAAACTCCACTCAGAAAGGTTTTGACCAGGATTTGAACCCAGGACCTTCTTGCTCAGAAGCTCACTCAGCCACCGTGCCGCCCCAGAAAGAGAAATTACCCAAGACGAAAACATAAACATATACATACTGTACATATATAATAATAACACCACAAATTGAGGATATAATTCACATTTACTAATCTATAACTTAATATTCTAAATCTCTCAAACAAAGAGATACAAAAACAAAGTCATAGAATAATAACTGACTGCACGTTCAATGAAATAAAAGTCAGTCGTGGCATTTTCTGGCGAAGGAGGAAAGTTCCCAGGATTGTCTGTTGGGTCCTTACGGGCCTGGTACATCTGAGAGCACTTTCACTAATGACTGTGATTGGAGTCAAGGCTGTTTAGAGCTGATAAACATTCTGACCGTCATCGCATTTTGTTTGGTTGAATCTCATGCAAAACACTTTTATTTTCTTTGATGACTACATTTTAGTAAAACTATCAAAAACACGGCTAGCCTTCAGATAACCTCTTCACATAGACCACATGTCCTGCTGAAAAAAGGACTGCAATTCAATCCATAAGAGTTTTTTTTTTATTTTATTTATTTATTTATTTATTGGGATTCCCTTTAGCTTCCACAAGCGGTTGCTAGTCTTTCTGGTTTCAGAGTATGATGCTCAGTTTTATTCTACAGTTAGATATACCATTAATTCTATTTTAGTATGCAGCCATTGTTCATTTACTGTATATTTTTTCCTGTGTGCTCCTCGTTCCTACTGTTTTGTAACTTGTGATGCAACACTGAAATTTCCCAACCATGGGACACCAAGGATCTTAATATGATTTTGCATTTGTGCAAAAATGTCCACGTAAGTCCAACGAACATATCTGAAACAAGCTAAGTGAAAACAGTGGAACTGGCTCGGTGCTTGGGGTTGAAAGAACTAGATTAGAAGAAAATATTTGAAAAATTATAAGCTTTTTGTCAGAAAATAATGACAAAAATTATAAGCTTTTTGTCAGAAAATAATGACAAAAATTATAAGCTTTGGAAATGACAGCTATAACATGATCCAAATTGATGTTATTATTTGTTCATACATTATCATTAATCATTCATTTTCATCAATATGGTCCTGGTTCCGAGTCAGAACATGGCCTTTCTGAGTAGAGTTTTCATGTTCGATCCTGTGTCTGCGTAGGTTTCCTCTGTGCGCTCCGGTACCCCCCCCCCCCCCCCCCCCCCCCATTAGAAGTATATACTATAGACTATGACTATGGCAAACAAGTAAGTAATCAATTTTTGTGTTCAGAGGTAGTTCTCCATTCTCTCCACACGCCAAACACACTGGTGCATCAAAGCCCCCAATTATCACCATCTATCCCCTCACTCTTTACATTCATACTTACTGTGCATGTTTTTAGTGGTGGGGGAAATCGGAGCACCTGGAGGAAACCTACGCAGACACAGGGAAAACATGCAAACTCCACTCAGAAAGTCCCTGTTCCGACCGGGATTCGAAACCCAGGACCTTCTTACAGAGAAGCGAGAGTGCTAATCACGCTGAGAAAAGGCCCTTGTATCAATCAATCACTTTTTTGCATAGAGCGTCTTTCCTACACAAAGCAACACAAAACACAACCCATATCAATCATAAACATTAAAATCTACATGAACATTAAAAAATACAAATCATTGGAAGGATGCGTTAAAGGAAGAGGATACATTTCCCAATGGTACAATAAAATCTAACTTCACTGTCAAGGTTCAGATTTCCTGTTTTATTTTGTAATTTGTCACTATGTCTTCTTTATTTTTATTTTTGTGTGTAAGCTCTCAGTCGTACAGGGATTAGCAGTGATGGGAATAACGGCGTTACTAGTAACGGCGTTACTAACGCCGTTACTTTTTTCAGTAACGAGTAATCTAACTAATTACTTTGACAGTAACTATAACGCCGTTATCATTTCCGACATCCCGTTACTGCGCGTTACTCAAGACGCACAATGAACGTGTTGTCATGAGAGAAGGGAGGATGAGAAAACCTCTCAGCAATTATTGGCTGATGTAAATCATATTTCCTTTACAATCTACATGTCTACAGTTGAGAGGATGGTCATAAATTGTGTTTTTGAAACAAATATGGGTCTTAATCGCGCTCAACCACGGCTTGTATCACCGTGAGGTCAGCCACAGAGGAGCGCATGTGAGCGCAGAAGTCGGCTGCATACAATTCCATCGATAAGCTCCTTGCTCTTCCTGGTTTATCTGCTAAGGACAGCAACAGGTTTGGCTAACATACATATAACACATTTTTACATAATCTAAAATGCACATAGGGTAATTTTTCAATTACTATAGGAATGATAAGAAAGAGAGGTGAAGTGTAAGACGGTTGATTTTAGAAATTGGATGCAGCCGGCTGCAGCAAAACAGAGGAGTTTACGGAGGACACACGCGTTTTGTTTTACTTTTTAAAACTCATTGGACTCATTTCCAAATGGAGGATTACATATCTACGCTCAAACCATTCACTGGATTTAAACAAGGAACTGGTCTGAACCGAAGTGGACTGTGCAGGTCATTTATAAGGTAAGACCCATAACTCATAGTTTTGCGTTTTGTATGAACAAACAATGCGGGCATAAAACATATTTTGCTGTAGCCAAACAAATTGTCCACTTGATTTATATGATGTATATGTTCATCTGATTGGACTGAAGTCAGTGCTTCACCAGCCTCACCGCTCGTCACCGGTGTTTCCACATTCACAGTGGCGGGTGTTTGTGTTTAGTGCTTACAGCACAGACAGAGATGAAGAGTGGAACAGGACTTCAGCAGCAAAACAGCCTTTTCTAGATGGAAATATTGGCACTATTAAAGGTAAAAATGCGCACGTCGGGTGCACATTATGTTCCAGAACAAAACGAAAAAGTAACGCAATAGTTACTTTTACTGGTAACTAGTTACTTTTATAGTGGAGTAACTCCGTTAGTAACTCAGTTACTTTTTGGGAGAAGTAACTAGTAACTATAACTAATTACTTTTTCAAAGTAACGTGCCCAACACTGGGGATTAGTCAAAGCATTGTTAGGTTTCACACCCATCATCTGTCCTTCTTAGCAGGTTTTCCCGACGTTTTTTCCTTAATCCAGTAAGGCTTCCTTTGGTATGTCTTTTTTAGCTCTACTTCCTGTTTCCTGATGACAGGCCCCGCCCTCATGAGTCTCAGGTGTGTCTCATTAGTTTTGTATTTAGTTTTTTGTATTATTTTTGTATGTAGTTTTGTAAATTAGTAAGACGGATCAAACTGTCTTTTCCTTCCTGTTATGTCATTGTCGTCGTTACTTTTTTGTTATTATTTTGCTTTGTTTTACTTTTTATTAGGGTTTTCCCAAATTTTAGAAGAGAACCGCCCTCTCCACTTTTTGAACAAAACTCTCTGATCTTATTGGACGAGCACATATCACCAGAATGATTAAGAAGACCAATACTCTTGATGATCCACCCGGAAGTAGAAAATCCTCCTATAAACCTTTTGAAGCCATTCTTTTTTCAGTTCTTCACTAAACTTTACTTAATTTAAGATTGTTTGATGTTCCAAGGAAAGGTACATGTCCAGAACAAATCCAAGCGGCGAGGTCTGAGGGGAATGATGTTTTCTTGCCAAACTCATCCAAGTGAAGAAATACTTGACCTTCATCGATCAATATTTCAGTGAATTGCTCCTTGTGTCACTCTCCGTCTTCCCAGATGACACGGACGAAATCTCGCTTGTACAGACCTTGAGTTAAGTGAATCCGTCTTGTGTTTTCGTGCACTCCATTGCGCTGCTGGTATTTCAGGAAAGCAGGTGTCAGCTTAGGTCGAGCGGAACATGTCGCAAATGGTGTTAAAAGCATGTACTCGCTGGCCTCCGCTCTCAATAAGTAATAAGCGGACAACGCTGGAAAAAAAACGATACGCCGTTCCTTTTCGATCCAGCTCAAGCGGAGAGGGACATAAATTAGTAAGACGGATCAAACTGAAGTGTTAGCGCGGATCAAGTATTTGTAAAGAAGCTGAAAGAGACTGTATGGGCGAGATAATGTGGAAGTGCCTGCGCCGGTACGTGTCACATGCAAGTTTAATCCCGGAGCAATTTGAGGATGAATTAGTTATCGAAACACACAACCCGTCTTCTTCCAAGAGTTTCAGATCACTAACTTTAGAGTGTTTCGTGGAATAGTACATTCATCTGTAATTTTTATGTTATGCAATTGTTGGGGTGACAGCAAAATTACTACTCTGGAAGACTCTGGCG